CCCCAAAACCCCAAAACCCCAAAACCCCATGATCACCTATATGAGTCCTTAGCGAGAGGTTTGCATTATAAAATTGTGTATTAATTATTAAACTGAGATATAATGAGAGTATAAAGAAAGAATTAATAATAAATAAGGTGCTTCTATAACCTTCTAAACAAATAATTGCTTAAATTAAAATGATACGAGCTAATAATCACCCTCAAAGACACTAATAAATGAATGAATTGTGACATTTAGGGCACAATAATCTCATTACCCTCCAGTGAAAATAGGCATTAGATGGGTGCTTAAATTGGGAATATAATTTGATTTATGATCTAACCAGAAATACGAAGAGAATAATGTTTCTGCTGAAAAATCTGCTCCCTAGTTTAATAATAATTTTAATAAGCTGAATCCTTTAAAATAGATTATTCCATAAAGATGAGCACTGTGGGATCAGGGCCTGCATTCAAATGCAAGGCTGAGAGAGAACCAACCATGTTTAAAAGAAATGATATAGTTTGGGCGAAAGTTAGAGGTTATTCTTGGTGGCCTGCGAAGGTTAGTATACTCCATTTTCCAGACTTTTTAAATTTATTCAAATTCGAGTAGATTGGGGAAGTAATCAAGCTCAATGATAAAGAACGCAAATATAGGGTAGATTTCATCGGAGACAACACTCATTAGATTCTGCCTTAAGATAAAATAGAGGACTTCATCAATAAATTTACAGAACATTCAAAAATTAAGAAGAAGGTAAGATTTTAGGAAAATGGGTCTTTTGCGAATTCCATATTTATTACGATCTCATCATAGCTTTCAGATTTCTTAATTATCTGTGGTATAGGATTTGTTAGACGCAATAGAATAGGCAAGGAAGAAACTAAGCAAGGATGATCAACTACTTCTAGAGAAATAGATATAGTAGGAAGAGTAGATGAAAAAGCAAATTGAAAAGGGCGGCATTAATCTAAATGATGATCAAGATAGATCTGAAAAGGCTAAAGAAAAATGTGCCAAGCCTAATTCAAACTCTAAGAACCAATTAGGTTAGGCTTAGGAATCTAGTAAATAAGAGAATGCTAAGGGTACAGCAGTTTCTCACAGTAGCAATGATTAGACAGCGACTCCTACAAAGGCGTCAATAATGGATATGCCATTTTAAAATGGAAAACTAGCATCCAAAAAGAATATAGACTAGGAAAAGTCTAACATCAAGGATAAGACTCTAATTCTTAACAAAAGGACTCTCAAATCAATTGAAAAAGATTTCATCAAGCAGAAAAAGCTATAGAGAAGTCAATCGGTTGATGGGGCATCTAAGGAGAATAATGACGAAGAAGAGAGTTAGATCATCTGTACTAAAAGCAGAGGCATAAAAGGGTTAAAGCGATAGAGACGCACTCTTGAGAAAAGGGTGCTTAGCGAAGTGTCTAAGGAAGATAAAGAAGAAATATAGTCAGTTAAGTAGAATGATAAGGAAGATATAGAACAGCAACCCTTAATAGATCTGAGAGTCCAATAGGAGCTAGAGGAGAGTGTGAAGGAATCACTTTCAATAAGACGGCAGAAATCAGAAAGAGATCAATCTTAGGAAAAATCTAATTTTGAAGAGCGTAAAAGTGATTTGGATCAAGATCGGGAAGAGCCAATGGTGATCAATGAGACTGTGAAGGTTCGCAGAGAATCCGCATAGAGAGCTAGAGGCGTTATTTAAAAAATAACAAACAAACCCCATAAATAACATGCATAAAAAGAGACTAAGTCGTTAAAATTAGAAAAGAGAGAAAAAAATGCAAATTAGGATGAAAGTATTTAGTGCCTCTAATAATAGTAGATAGCAACTATCAAATAGCCGAAATAATCTAAATAGCTGAGTCATAATAAAATAAACTCATCTACCTCAGATACTTCGAGACATAGTCCCCAGCCTCTATCGAAATTGCCAGAGGTCTAGTAGATGAAAAAGCCTATGCCTTAAATTTAGAGTTAGTATAGCAACCCAAGCATAGTCGCTAATAATACTCTATCAGATTTTTAATAGATTAGTAGGAAAATAAAGAACATCATTAAGTACTAGCAATAGGAGGAAGAGTAAATGAGGAGAAAGCATGATCTTAATGAGGTTTAGCTTGATCTACTAAAGAATAATAAAGAAAGTCTAATCATAATATAATAATAGATTCCAAAATTAAATTAATATCTTATGCAGTTGCAGAAAGCTGAGATCAGTATCGAAATTTTAAGCGAGACAGGTATAGGTAAAACTCTCAAGTATCTTTCTGACTATTGTGAAACATATAGAGAAGATTTACCTTAACTTCAGTCAACTCAATCTAACAGTAAACTTATCCTTTAAAAATGGAGAAACCATGTCAATAAATGCTTATTCGAGGAGAAAACTAGTCATGTTGAGGAGTTTAGTAAGGAAAAATACAAGCTTAAGGTATAAAAGAATTAAAAGAAAAATACTAAACATAAATCTAGCTGCTAACTTGATGCTTCAGTCAATGCAAATGATGATAAAAACGATAGGACATTTGAATAACTAGTAAGGCAGAACTCAACTAAATTTATGCAAAGTTTACTCAAGTTAACAACTCTAGAGGAGCCATCAAGAAGTAGATAGGACTCTGAGATATCTATGAGACTACAAAAGGATCCAAGTATGGATGACAGGCATTTCTCAAACCCTGAGAGAGTTGATTCTTCGATAGACTCAGCTGACCATGCTAATCCTATTCAAAGGCTCAATCATAACTGGCCTAAAGTAGGTAGCCCATACAGATAGTCTGCATTTTCTAGACCTCAGCCCCATCAATAAATATAAACCTTGTCCCCTGTTTGATTAACCCAATAAAGATAGTTAGTTTAAATTTAAGTAATATAATAAATTCACTCGCCGATTAACCAGCATATTTGATACTAAACAATAAATTAGATAATATGATAAAATTAATTGGATCAAGAAAAGAAATTTCAATAAGTATTAATGCAATGCTTACTGATGGGGTTTTGGGGTTTTGGGGTTTTGGGG